GGCTTTGTTTTTGGGGAGGTTTTTAATTACCATTTCAATTTCGCTGCTTGTAATTGGTCTGTTTAGGTGTTCTATTTCTTCTTTATCTAGCTTTGGGTGATTGTAGAGTTGTAGGAATTTGTCCATCTCCTCTAGATTGTTGAACTTGTTTCCATATAACTGTTCATAGTAGTTACTGATTATTCTTTTGATTTCTGCTGTGTCCGTTGTGATTTCTCCTCTTTCATTTATGATTCTGTGTATTTGTGCTTTCTCCTTTTTTCCTTTGTGAGCCTGGCTAGGGGTTTGTCTATTTTATTGATTTTTTCAAAGAACCAGCTCTTGGTTTCATTGATCTTTTGGATTGTTTTTTTAGTTTCAATTCATTTATTTCTGCTTTGGTTTTTATTATTTCTTTTCTTCTACTGGATTTGGGGTTTTTTTGTTGTTCTTTTTCTAGATCTTTGAGCTTCGAGATTAGGTTGTTTCTTTGAGTTCTTTCTTGTTTTTTGATGTGAGCTTCTATTGCTATATATTTTCCTCTTATTACTGCTTTTGCTGCATCCCATACATTTAGGATATTGGTGTCCTCCTTGTCATTCAATTCAAAGAATTTTTTAATTTCTTCTTTGATCTCCTCGTTAGTCCAGTGGTCTTCCAGTAGTGTGGCTTTTAATCTCCATGAGGTAGGATAGTTCCTTGCCTTCTTTTTATGATTTATTTCTAGTTTGATGCCTTCGTGGTCAGAAAAGATGGTTGGTATGATTTCAATCTTGGTGTATCTGTTGATGTTTGTCTTGTGCCCCAGTATGTGATCGATCCTGGAGAATGATCCGTGTGCGCTTGAGAAAAATGTGTACTCTCGTTTTTTTTGGGTTTAGTGTTCTATAGATGTCTGTTAAGCCAAATGCTCTAGGTCCTTATTTAGAGCTTTAGTTTCTTTACTTATTTTTTGTCTTGTTGATCTATCCATTGTTGATAGTGGTGTGTTGAAGTCTCCCACTACATATGTGTTTTCTCTGATGTCTGTTTTCAGAGAGGACAACAGTTGTCTGATATATTTTGGTGCTCTTTCGTTTGGTGAGTATATGTTAATGAGTGTTATTTCTTCTTGAAGTATTGTCCCCTTAATCATAATGTAGTGACCATTGGGGTCTCTTTTTATTTTTTTGAGTTTGAAGTCTGTTTTATCTGATATAAGTATAGCTGTTCCTGCTTTCTTTTTTGGCCCATTTGCTTGTAGGATTGTTTTCCATCCTTTGACTTTGAGTCTATTTTTATCTTTTGTAGCTAAATGTGTTCCTGGAGACAGCAAAGGTTGGGTTTTGTTTCTTAATCCAGGCTGCAACTCTGTGTCTTTTTATTGAAGAGTTTAGTCCATTTACATTTAGAGTTAATATTGATATGTTAGCATCTGTATTTGCCATTATGTTTGTCTTCCTTTGATTTTATTTATTTATTCTTTAATAACTTTTTTTTTTTTTTTTTTGGTCTTCTTTCGTTGTTATTCGTCCCTCTGAGGTTCTGGCTTTAGGATTCCTTGTAGTATTTTTTGGAGTGGGGGTTTAGTCGCAATGAAATTCCGATGTTTCTCTTTGTCTGGGAAGGTCCATATTCTTTCTTCATGGAGGAAAGAGAGCTTTGCGGGATAGAGTATTCTTGGTTGGCATCTGTTTTCTTGGAGTCTGTTGACTATGTCCCTCCACTCTCTCCTTGCCCGTAGTGTTTCTTCAGAGAAGTCTGATGTCAGCCTGATGGTTTTCCTTTGAATGTTATCTGTTTCTTCCCTCTTGTCAGCTTCATTATTTTTTCCTTGTCCTGGATTCTTGGGAGCTTTACTATTATGTGTCTTGCTGTGTTTTTCCTTTCGTCGTGGAAGTTTGGTGTTCTTCTTGCTTCTTGTATATCAATTTTCAGCTCCTTCTTCTCATTTGGGAAGTTCTCTTCAATTATATCCATGAATATTTTCTCTGTTCCTACATCTCTCTCCTCTCCTTCTGGAATTCCTATAACTCTTATATTTCCTTTCCTCATGGAGTCAGATAGTTCCCGAAGTCTTTCTTCATTCTTTTCCTTCGTACTTCTCTTTCCTTTCTGTTTTGGTTCTTTTTATTTCTGTGTCTTCAAGATTACTTATTCGTTCTTCCATTTCATCTATTCTGCTTTCATTGCTTTTCCCAGAGTTCTTTAGTTCCTCCATTAATTCTTTGATCTCCTGCATTTCTTTTACTTCCCTCTTTAGGGACTCAATTTCCTTCTTCTGATCTATCACTTTTTTAATCATGGCAATTTTAAATTCTCTTTCTGGAAGGCTCAGAAGTTCTTCCAAGTTGCTGTCGTTGCAATCTGGGGAGTGGTTTTCTTTTTGTGGTGTGCTTCTTTCCTGAGGAGTTTTTAGGTTGCGTGTGGTTCTTCTACTCCCTACTGTCTGTTTTCTAATTTGTCGTATGCGTTGGGACACTGTGTTGCTCGGACTGACTGACATCTTGGGTGAACTTCTCCGCTCCCCTCTGGCTCTTCCAGGAGCCATCTCTGTCTTCTGGGGGAGCTTTCTGCTGGTTTTAGGCAGTTTTTACTGAAGAAATGTCCCTGTTCTCAAATGGCGAAGCGGGATGCAGTCCCTGCGCCTCCGGTTTCAGGCACACTCTTCTGCGCCCCCGGTCTGCCCCGGACGTGGGTTCCTGCTCCCTCTGTGGGCTCAGACTGCTGGTCGGAAGGGGCCTGGCGTGGAATAACTTCCCGGCTGGCCACTGGGTCCTCCAGAAACCTTCTGCCCTTTTCAAGCAGTCTTAAGAAATGTCCTGTTTTATAGGGTGTTAGTGACTTTTTTTTTCCTGGTCGCTAGGTGGCGCCAGAGATCTCTCCTATTGTCCTTGGGGGGCTGTTTTTCGCCTCCCCCGACCCCGTGGGACAGAGAACAGAGCGGGAATGGTAGGGTACACCTCAACAGCTTTGGGGTGCTGTGTCTGCCTTGTGCCCCACCGTCGTGGAGAAACCACGCCCCGAATTTTCGCGCCCCGGGTCTCAGTTCAAAGCCCTCAGTTCCAGGACGCGGGCTGTAGCCCAGTTCAGTGGCGCAGGAATGGCGCCTTTTGCACCGCTCCCGTGCCTGGGCGCCTGGATCCTGCTTACTCAGGGAGGGACCTTCACCTCAGTGAGGACCTCCGCGCGTCTCCCCGCAAGCCTAGGTCGTCTCCCCGCAAGCCTAGGTTGCAGGCGCGGGGACCTGGGCAGCCGCGATCCTGGTCTGCACTTGCTTTTCAAGCGCGCCGAGCACTCCGCGTTTCCGCGCAAGCTTACCGGCAGCCCGGGCTGTGTGCGCGTCTCCCGGGGTCTTTGTTCTTCTCTAATGGCGCCCGGAGCCGTTCGCTCACCGCCGCGGCGGATCCTGCAGGGTTCGCCTCAGCTCCCGTTCACGGGGTGTGGTGGCTGCAATAGTTCCTTTCCGCTCACAGTCCCGCTTGCTGCGTCGTTTGTTCTTGTGGGCCGTTTTGGTTTGTTGTTTCCTCCTCTCTGCCGGTCGGAGAGTGCCGCCTCTGTGGGCGGGGGAGGGGAGCAGGGTTCTGCGCTTCCCTCCCTTCTAGTCCTCTTTTATGGCCACTTTCTTCTTCGGGTAGTTTGCTGGCGTCACCCGTTTATCTTCCGTGTCCCAGTTCTCACTGGGACCTGCCGCTTTTCCTCCCTATTCACTTTTTTTAATGGGAGATCTTACTCGCAGCGTCTCCTCGCCGCCATGTTGCTCCGCCCCCTATTTGTTTTGTTTTCTGACACAGACATTCAAATAGTGGTTGGTAACAATAAGTTTGTGAAAAATAAATGGCAGCATATATTTTATGAGGAAAAAATTGAGTCTAAGTAACATCAAAAGCCGTGTTTATCCTATTTTAGTGGTTGAATATCTCTTAGCCAGTGTTCTTTGGCATTGTAGTTTGAAAGTCACTATAAGCTTATGTTAATTTCATTGTCTAGTTCATAGAAATCCTGGGTCTAGGAAAGACATCTTATATTTTTGAGTGCTCTAAAAGAAATGAACTTTATCAGTCACATTATAGAGCAAACAAAGATTGTCTCATGTGGTATTATACAACTTTCTTGCCAAGGTCAGTTTATGGTTCACAGTATCTTTTAAAGAATACTTGTCCCCTACTTTTCTTTATTCCTTGATCTTCTTAAACCAGGGAGGGAGTGAACTTCACCTCTTGTCCTTCAAATAAGTTTCCTCCAATTTTCCCTCCCTCTTTTCTGCATTATTTTCTGCCCCTTCTCAGGGTATTCTTATTTACAAAATTCATTCAGTTATTGCCCTTAGATTTTTATGATTCTTCCAAATTTTCCCTTATTTTTAATCTCATTTCTGGATTTCAGCCCCATAAGTCCACCCTGGACATTGAGACAAGGCTTAACCTTGTCTCAGTCTGAATTCAACCTTTCATTCCTAGTCTACTTGTCTTTCTTACCAGTCTTCCTGCCTCTAATATATTTTCCTCTTCTGCTTCCTGCCCTACTCCCTCTGCAATATTGTCCAACCCACTCTGGCATGTGTAATTTTTCTAGTACACAAAAAACCAGCTGGCTTCAAGTTTTGCTGACATCCTCCTTCCTCTTCCCATTCCAGCAGTGTCATGTACCACTTCCTTGAGTGGCCCATGCTTCCCATGCCTGTGCTTGTGCTGTTGTTTCCTTCTGCTTTAAATGCCTTCTCCCTTTTGCCTTTCTAGAAAAGACATCCAGGGAAGCTTGGTTCAGGCATCATCATCTTTGTGAGTCCTCCCTGACTCAGACACAGTCAGCCTTCCTTTCATGTCCTACTTTGTATGCATTCCACTGCATCATTCGGTTTTTCTCAGTGTACCCATTGTCTGCATGTCTGTCTCCCCTATGAGCTGAGCTCCTTGGAAGAATGAGCTGTGTGTACGTCCTCACCTTAATATCAGGCACCTCTTAGGTACTTCATAAATACTTGATGAAAGAACAAATGAACAACAAAAAAATTATACTCAGAATGCATGTTCATTGCAGAAGTATTTTTATATATTAAAGAAGAAGAAACTAATTACAGCAAAACAGGAAGCTTCCCTCTCCCACTGCCCCTCTGCTTCAGGAGGTTGCCTTTGATAGAAGAGGAAGCAGTAGATGACCCTCAGCCATTTTCCACAACCACCCACGGCTCCTGAGGCTCACGTTCACATTGGTCCTGGCGTGATCGACAACCTGATGAACCCAGACAAGACTAAGATAAACTACTTGTCCTCCAGTAGAATAAATATTTCAAATAAAGTCAACCCCAGAAAGTCAGGCCAAACAGCTATTGATTGCTAAAAGCCTGAACTTAAGCCCAATGAATATTCCAAAGTTCACCTCCATGCAGCTTGCCTAAATGGTGATCAATATGCAATTACTGCCCCCTTTAAACGTGTCTTACAGTGCCTACCTGAAGAAGGGTTTTACTTTTAAAATCCTTTGTTGAATTTGCTTAGCCAGGAAAAAAAGACTTGGCTAAACCAAAGCCCTTTACCTTTAGTATTTCAAACAATTCTGTGTTATTTGTGAAATGGCTTGAATGAATGCTGAATAGTAAGTGCAGGTGCCCTGTTATATGACTGTCATTCACTTCAAGAGGCCTTTTCCTGAGTGACTAAACAATGAGGATATTATATCTCAGTTTCCTAATTTCTACTCATATGATTACCTGCCCTAGTCATAACCTTTGAAATACAAGTTTGTAAAGTAAGATGCTAACATCCAGCTGCAGTGAAAACAAATATATTATTTGTCCAGTTTCTTGTTAGAATTTCATCTTGATGCAGGAAAAAACCCTTTCCTGCTGAGTCTGGAGCCTTGTTTACTCTTCTGCTGATACTTAAGACTTCATGTCTCAAAAAATGCCTTTTTCATGCCACTGCCGAACTCAGAACCCCTTGTCATTTTCCACTACACTGTTGTCATTATCTCCTAACTGTCCTCCCTGCCCCAAGCTCTGATGCTCCAGTCCTTTCATCAAACTGTTGCCAGTTTAAGCTTTTAAAGTGTATCCATCTGTTGTTCTCCTTTTCTTAAATATCCCATGACTTCACAACATCTATGGCATGAGGTCCAGCTTTCCTGGCAGCACATGTAGTACCTGTCATGACCTATTTTTGCCTGCCCCTATTCAGTCATCTTCATTAGTGCCTCTCATTCCTCAAGTCCCCATTCTCTTACAGGCCTGCAGTACCTTTGCACATGCTGTTTACCCAACATCACCATCAGTTCATCACTTACTCTGCCTGGCAAATGCTCATTTTCAGACGTCTCAGTTCAGATGTCACTTGTCATTGATACCATAACTGACTTCCCACAGATAAAGTTAACATCTCCACCTCCTATCTTTTGGGCTGAATTTCCATTGCTTAGGGCTTTTGAAATTATTTTATTTACCTGTCCTTAAGTTATTTAAAGATAGGTAACTTATAACTCCTAGCAGCCACTATAAGCCTGTATGCATGTATGCAAGTACATGCTCAGTAGTGGCCTTTTTCTTTTCAGTTCAGTAGTTGGATTGATATCATTTGTGAGTATTTAGATTGTTTTGTTCCTGCAGCAAAGAGAATAAAAGTAAGACTATTCCTTGATCTTTTGAGGTTAGCACCTAGTAGGATGACCAACTATCTTAATTTGCTAGGACTATGGGGTTTCCCTGGATGTGGTACTTTCAGTGCTAAAAGTGAAACAGTCTCAGGTAAATCAGGATGGTCTAGCACAAAGCAGCACCATTTGCAGGCTTTCTGGCTACACTTCTTTCCACCAGTCATTGGGACCCAGTCCTAGCTGGCTGGTCTGACCCAGGATAACATTCTTTGTCAGCACACTGTTACAGTGTCACCTCTACAAAAGACTATCCAAAAGGGATATTGTTTCTGATTCTTTTTCTTTGATTTTTCAAGTGAGAAATTGGATGAAGGGTTTTGAGTTATGTTATTATCACCTTTTTGATCCAGCTTGCCTCCTCTTGCTTGACCAAGCACCTCGCTCCATTAATGTTTTCCTCTTTTTTAAAATCTTTAGTCTCATCACCATTGACTTCTTGATACCCTAAAAATAGGATTAAACTTTTCATATTTTTAAAAGTAATAATTCAGAAAAAACCTGAACTTGACTTTCCTCTCAAGCTGATTGACCCCTCTTCTCCAGGCTTTACTTATGAGTAATAATTCCACACTCACCCCTCTTACTTTCTCACCTCTTTTCAAATATCTACATATATGTATGTCTTTTCCCATTCTCCTCTCCCCCTCACCTTAACTAACAAATACTAATCTCAGAATAAGCATGTTGAATTGTGTCTCCTTAACTCCTGGAATCAGTTATTTATTTGGAGTCCTTATTGTGGCCTACAGGACTACATGGCCTTGCCTTTGGTACAGCCCATGTTTTCCTCTCTGATTCAAGCTAGGAGCTCTGCTCCTTAGGCTTCAGGCATGCCAACTTGCTGTCTGTTTTTTAACCAAATTAGCTCATTTTCATCTTAAGGCTGTACTTTCTGCCTTTAGTATTTTGTCCCTAAAATGCACATGATCAGTTCATCTTATCACTCAGATCAACACAAATGTTGAGTACTTCCTTAATCCTAACCTAAAATATCCTCTCTAGTCATTCTTTCATATTACTTCATTTCCATCACACATACCACTATCAAGTATTGTGACTTTTCATTTGTTTCCTCTAACTACGTTCTAAGTTCCATGAAACTTCATACTTGTTCTGTCCTATTCACAAGCGGTAGCGAGTTAATATTTACAGATTGATTCATACATGGGGTAAAAATTATGGTGATTTATACTTTTCCCTAACTATTTCTTATTAATTTAGTCACCTTAAGTAGGTTTAATGTTTTCATAAGCAGAAGCTATGTTAATTTTTGTTTTTCTCTTGTGCCTACTGGGATGCTGAGTATATGTTCAGTAAATACTGCATGTTGTCTTGGTTGGTTGATTTACCACAATACTAAGATAGGAAATGATTGATTTGTTCCTCTCTACCTCATAGAATGATAAGATAAAAAGTGTAGAAATTAATAGAAGATTACACCCTTAGAGAAGTAACTTCAAGAATGGTAGTCAGAGGGATTCTTCTATGCCCTTTGGTGTTGAGGGGAAAGAAAATTACTTTTTTTTTTTTTTTTTGAATAGTTGATTCTAATTCTAAAAAGTACTACATGTTCACTGTGGGGAAAATAAAAGGTATTGAACAATAGAAAAAGAAATAATAAACATTTGATAAAATCCACCCTCTTTTCATGATAGAAATACTCTAGGAATAGAAGGAAATTTCTCCAACTTTGATAAAAAGCTTTCATGAGAAATTCACAGCAGACATCATGCTTAGTGGTGAAAGACTGTCTGTTTTCTCCCTAAATGAAGAATAAGAGAAGGATGTCCACTCAGACCACTTCTATTCAGTGTTGCGTGGGATGGTCTATCCATGACAACTAGGCAATAAAATGAAATAAAAGGCATCTAGAGTAGAAAAGAGTAAAAGTATTTGTTTTCAAATGACATGACCTGATGAATACACTAGAAAATTATTAGAGCTACTAAATTCAGCAAGGTTGCAGGTTATGATAATATACAAAATGAATTGTATTTCTGTAAACTTGCAATAAATAGTCCAAAAATGAAACTAAGAAAATAGTTCCATTTGCAATAACATCAAGAATAAAATATCCAGGAATAAATTTAACAAAAGAAGTATATAATTTGTACTCTGAAAACTATATAATATTACTAAAAGAAGTTAAAGAAAATCCAAATAAATGGAGAAACAGTTTATATCCTTGGATCAGGAGACCTAATACTGTTAAAATGGTAAGACTCCCCAAAGTGATTTATAGATTCAGCACAATCCAGTTAGCATCCAAGCTGACTTCATTGTAGGAGTTGATATGCTGATCCTAAAATTCATATGGAATTGTGGTACAATTCTAAGAATTGTAATTAGAATTAGCAGGTTGAGGAATCTCCACACACACTTTTCATAGTGAAAGCTGTGTGGAGATTCCTCAACCTGCTAAAGATGGAGCTTCCATATGATCCAACAATTCCACTCCTAGGTATTTACCCAAAAGACACAAAATCATTAATTCAAAAGAGCATCTGCACCCCTATGTTTATAGTAGCACTATTTACAATAGGTAAGCTTTGGAAACAACCAAAATGCCCAAAAATAGATGACTGGATCAAGAAGATGTGCATATACACACACACACACACACACACACACACACACACACATATATACACACACACACAATGGAATGTTACTCAGCAATCAAAAAAGATAAACTCATGCAATTTGCAGCAACATGGATGGAGCTGTAAGGGATCATGCTCAGCGAAATAAGCCAGAAAGAAAAAGAAGAATACCGGATGGTCTCACTCATAGCAGGAAGTTAGAAAACCTAAATAAGGGACCAGGAAAAAGCCTAATTATAATAAAGTAAAAATCAAAATCAACAAGCAACTATAAACCAGAGACACACTATGGAGGGAGAGGGGAGTAGGGATTAGAGTCAAAATAGGGGGGGTGGGAATTGTATGGGGAATAACCAAGATGAAAATGCATACATTGTGCAAAAATGAAACATGATGTAAAAAATATATAAAATAAAATAAAAAATAACACATTAAGGATAAAAAAAAAGCTTACTGCACAACAATGCTAATCAAGACCGTGTAGTATTGGGGTAAATTAATGGACTATAATTGAGAATTTAGGAATAAAACTAGGTGTCTGTGGTCAGCTTGATTTTCAGATTTAGTACCCAGACTAGGGAATAGCTTCAACAAAGGGCCCTGGGACAAGTGGATATCTAAATTCAAAAGGATGGAGTTGGTTCCTTACCTCATACCATATACAAAAATTCAAAAATTTTTGTGGCACAGAAGTTAAAGTCTCAGCACTGTCAATCTATCGCCAGACTGTGGCATGAGTTTGATCCCTGGCCGGGGAGCTGACCCACAAGACGCAGCAGACCTCTCCTGTCTTGCCCGCTGCTCCCCTCAGCAGTGTGTTTCAGTAGATCTGCCTGTTCTGCTCCCCACTCTCTCTCTGGTGAATCCTCTCACACACACCACCCCCCTACTTCTGGCCTACACCCCAGTTCTTGTATACATAAATAAATAAAATAAGTCTTAAAAAAAATCCAAAAATGAATCAAATGTAAGAACTAAAACTTAAAATTTTTAGAAAACATAGGTATAAATTTTCATGACATTGGCTGTCACAATTGTTGTTAGATATGAGCAACACAAAAGAAAACAGTCATCAAAGTGAAAAACTTTTGTGTTTCAAAGTACCAAGAAAGTGAAAAAACAACCCTTAGAATTGAATATTTGCAAATCAATTATCTGTTAAAGGACTTGCATCTAGAATAAATAAAGAACTCTTACAACTCAATTATAAAGATAATTAAGTTAATTCAAAAATGGGCAAAGGATGTGAATAGACATTTCTCCAAAGAAGATATACAAATGGCCAATAAGCACATGAAACGATGCTTGAGTCATTATTTATCAGGGAAATGCAAATCAAAACCATAATGAGATACCACTTTACACCCACTAAAATGTCTAGAACCAAAAAGTCAGATGATGAGTGTTGGCAGGGATGTGTAGAAATCATAACACTTATAAACTGCTGGTGGAAATGTAAAATGATACAGCCACTTTGGAAAATAGTCTGACACCTTGTTAAGAGGTTAAACATAGAGATACCATATGCCCCAGCAATTCCACTGCTAGGTATACATGTGCCTAAAAGAAACGCAAAATATGCCCACACAGAAACTTGTACATAAGCATTCATAGTAGCATTATTCACAGTGACCAAAAGGAGGAAGTAATCCAAATGTCCGTAGGTGTACGAATGGATAGAAAAATTGTGGCAAATCCATACAATAATGGACTTTTATTCAGCCACAGAACAGAATCAAGTTCTGATGCATATTACAGCATAGATGGAACCTGAAAGAAGTCAGTCACAAAAGATCACATATTATTTATACCATTTACTTGAAATATACAGAATAGGCAAATCCATGAAGGCAGAGAGTAGATCAGGGATTGCTGAAGGCCCAAGTAGGATGGGGAAGGTAGAGGATGATAGCTAAAGGGTGGGGGAGTTCTTGTCAGAGTGAAGAAAGTATTCTGTAATTGACGGTGGTGATGCTTGCACACATCTGTGAATATACTAAAATCCATTGATTTGTACATTTTAAAGGGGGGTGAGTTGTATGGTATGTAAATTAAATCTTGATAAAGCTGCTTTAAAGGAAGAAAAAGGAATAAATCATGCATAATTCCACCACCCTGACCCTGAAATAAATTTTGTTTGGATTTTGATCTTTTTCTGGCCTTTTTATTGCCTGTTTTTCACAGTTAAGGCAATGCTTCATATAGAATTTTGAATATTGTCTTTTGTGTTTATCATTTTGAGCGTAAGACTATGTTTATTCTAGTACATACTCTCCTAGTTGTTAACAACTGTGTAATATTCCACTTAGATATGCCACAATGTAATAATTTTCTCATTGGTGGATATTTACGTGTTTTATTTTTATTTCCTTTTCCTCATTATCAGTACTTCAGTAAATAGATATACTTTTTAAAAGGCTAGAATGTACCTGTGGAATACTTTATATGAAACCCCTTTTGTTCACAGAGAAAAGAAGATCTCCCGGAGCAGTGCCCTAAAAGTGCTTGACCATGCCATGATTGGACCTGAGGGCACAGACAATTGCCATAAATTTGTTGACATTCTTGGCTTACGAACCATCTTTCCCCTCTTTATGAAATCTCCCAGGAAGATCAAGAAAGTGGGAACCACAGAGAAGGAACATGAAGGTAAGGTTTGCTGGAGGAGTCAGTCTAGTTTAGGTGCATTAGAAATAAGGAAAATGAGAACTCCTTTGAAAAACTGACTTGCACTTGAGGAGTGGGCTCTTCAGAAGAAGAGTGCTGCGTTTTTCTCGTCTATCTTATTTGCTAGGTGTGGAAAACATCACAGATACTCCAGATCACTGCTTGTCTTTGTCACATGCATTCTCTGCTTACTTGAATGCTGGCAGTTCCTTTTCTTTCCTGCCTGTTAATAAGTCTGTGCATGAGGGTTTTGTTTTCTTTGCTATAATTTGTAGTGAGGTGTCTCTCTGATGGAAGACCCTTTTGAAAAGAGTAATGAGGCGGCAACACATGCCACTTCCAGAGTGGTGCTTTCATGTACTTCTGTATTAAAGTATGATTCAGCCAACATCAGGAATTGCCGAAATAAACTATTTACAGCCCAGGTTCCCCTTTTTATGTTTCTCCTCCCTGATGGTGCACACTCCCAGCAAAATGCTGCCATGAATTGCGATGCTGTAACCAGAGTAGTTACTGCTGGGCCGGTTTCTTCCTGCTATTGTCTAGTGGCCTGCTGCATCCCTCCCCCCAATAAATAGCTGCAGTGCAATCTGGAAGGCCAGGGATTTATGAGCATTGACAGTTCTGCTGGAGGCTAGCAGACACTTGCACCGGGAAATTTACATGGTTGGATGGTTATTTGAAAGTGCGGGGAGGGCCACAAGGTGGGTACGGAGGTGGTGTATCAGAGGAGAGAACCTGAGCTGACTG